CAGATCCACATGAAGACGATGCCAGCCGCCATGTACAGGCTGCTGACGGCCCAGGAGCAGCCCGTTTACATCTGAGCCCGCGCGCCCCTCCCGGGCCTTGCGGCATGCATGGAGGACTCTCCTCACTCGTGGTCGTGTGTCTAGTGCTGCATCTGTGTGTCCGCTGAGACATTTCCCTCTCACACTCAGCATTGGGTTGTGCACAGGAAGAGGGGAATCCGCAAGGACCTCTTCGGTCTCTCTCTCCAGTTTGTATTTTTTTTTAATCCAGGGAAGTTTTGTGTGCACTTGCTTGGGATGGAGAGCTGCCGCGATCCTCCCAGGACCCTCTTGAAGGGCCCTCTTGGGGGTGGGGTACCCTGAGGGGGGCTGTCGCTGCCCAGCAGGGAATCATCCTGTCCCAGGAGGTGCAGATCTTGCAGAAGGCGCTCCCGGGGGGTGTTGGACAAGCTGATTCAGCAGTGCCTAAAATCCAGTTGCTGACCTGTGCTCTCCTCACCTGGATGTATAGGAATATGGTAGTGATGGGGGCCAGCCCACGGCTTTGAGGATATGTACTGCCCACAATGCAGCGGGCACAATACATTTGTCTCCACCCAGAATTTCTGAGCCAACCTTAAACCCATTCTGTAGCTAGTTTTAGTTTTCAGCATATGTGTGTTTCTGATACCGTGGGCCTTCTCGCCCCAGAGGGCAGGGAGGAGGAACTGCCTTGCACAAGGACACCGTAGCCTCACAGGGAGCTTGGCAATTCACGGGGCAGCCAAAGCGTCCATAGCTTGTCCCGAGGTTCCCAGCCCCTGGATCAACACAGGCAGGTTCCATCTGCCTCTCCTGTATTTCACCCTCACCCACACACAGTCACGCTTGTATATCACCCTTCCCTCCTCCCCACCACCAATAAGATCAGCTGAAAATGCCCCCCGCCTGGACCTGCCTCTGATAGCACCAGAGCCCCTGGACCACCCACGTGGCCTCTCTGGGCAGCCCCTTGCCCTGGCAGGCGGGGTGGCATGAAGACTGGCTGGCCTCGTCCTGCAGGATCCCTCTGGTTGAGGCCTGGCCCTCCCAGACCACCTAGGCTCAAAGTGTCCCCCTCTGAGGGAGTGGACCCCACTCTCCCCATACACACACACACACACACACACACACACACACACACACACACACACTCGGGGAGTCTGGGAAGGATGGACTGTCCCCCTTAAAGACTAGGGCCCGAGTCCTCATTGGAGGACACTGTCGTGTTACATTTTCTGGCCTGAGGCTGGACACCTCTCTTTTCTGCTCAGGGCCAGTAGGCAGGCTGTGACATTGGAAGGGCCTGAACAGTATATCAGCCACAAAACTAAGGGGACAACAACGACCTCAACCTATGCCTAAGAATCCCGAGTGTGTCCTAGAAGCATCTTGCCGCCTCACGGGTCTGCGAGTGCTGACTGGTGTGAATGTTGCTTGTTGCCTCGTTTCTGGATTCCGCCACAGTCCGTGCAGATGTTTGAGAAATCTTCCTATCCTGAGCCGGTTTCTCACTTCTTGGTCCAAAGAGCATTTTGGTTTCATGTGGGGTGTGGTTGTGTTTTGGTTCTTTGTTGTTTTGTTTTTGTCGTTTTGTTCATGACCTCAGTAGAGACAGGGGAAGAGAAACTAATATATTTTGTAATATTGATGTAATCCCTGCTCTCTGCACCTGGGATATTTATGTTGTGTCTTGTGGAGATAGGAACTCAGTGAGCACATGTTAGGGTTGGTGCATTTATCGGTAGGGTGGAGGAGATCCAGGTAGGGAGAAAAGTGAACATAAACGGATGAGGAAGAAGAGGCGTCAACTAGAGAGCCACGTGGTCAGTTCCCCTGGGCTCTTTGCACCTTCTGAAGTTTCTGCTTAGAATCAGGAAAGCTGAAGCCCTCAGAGGAATCAGCAGCTGAACTCTCTTTCCTGTGGTGCAGCTAGCTGTAACAAAGAGAGGCTGCCGGCCCCCCAAAAGTCCTCTCAGAGCGCTGGGCAGTGGGACAGGGGGAGCCAGGCTGGGCAGTCAGACCCCCTGGAGTTAGGAGTTGGAGCAGGGTGCTGCTGCAGGGGCCAGCCCCAAGGTTGACTCCCCACAAATGCCGGAGCCCAGACCTGTGGAGCCCAGACCTGTGGCTCCAGGGTCTCAGTTTGCCTGTCCTGAAATAACCAAGCTATAGAGTTTCTGATGTTATCCTTAAATACGAAAGAGCCACAAGTTCATGTCTCCTGAGCCAGACAGACAGTGAGTAAAACAGGAAATGAGTTGTCACTGATGATACTTCAGGCACAGGAACCTTCATTGGAGGGGCTTTTGCCTGTCTGCTTCCAGGGGGACCCACCTGCCTGGGCACCTCTCACAGCACCAGATGGGGACAGCTGGGACCACCGGGACCACTCTTACGACCGAGGGCAGTGAGCTCTGCCAGCACATCCCTATGCAACTGCCCGGTAATACATGTCTTCACCCAGAGGAGAGAGAAAATACTTTCTATTCCTATTGCACAAAAATCTCGGAATGTTTGAGAGGTGCTGAGAAAGACAATTGTGGAAGTTCTCGTAGAGAATTAACGCCTTTTAGCATAAGATTATTTATCCACTACATACTTCCGTGTTAATAAAACTGGTTCCTCACCCCCCAGAAAGTGAATGTTGCTGGGGCTGGGAATAGGTTCACCCAACTGAAGTGTATTCTCTTTCCCCTGCTACCCTTGGCCTGAGGCTGGACACCTCTCTTTTCTGCTCAGGGCCAGTAGGCAGGCTGTGACATTGGAAGGGCCTGACTTGTGGCAACCTCAGGTGTTTCAGAGTAGAACTACTCCATAGGGTTTTTACAGCTGTGACCTTTCAGAAGCAGACCACCAGGATTGTCTTCCAAGGCACCCCCTCAGTGGGTTTGGAACACCAGCCTTCCAGTTAGTAGCCCAGCACTTAACCATTTGCATCACCCAGGGACTCCAACTTAGGAGTAAACCAAAAAAGCCAAACCCATTGCTGTCAAGTTGAGTCCCACTCAGAGCAACCCTATAGGACAGAGTAGGACTGTCCCATAGTGTTTCCAAGGCTGGAAATCTTTATGGAAGCAGACTGCTACATCTTTCTCCCTTGGAGCGGTTGGTGGGCTCGAACTGCCCACCTTTTGGGTCACAGCCAAGCACTTAACCACTGCACCACCAGGGCTCCTTAACTTAGGAATAGGAGTCTTAAATATTACAGTATTTAGTAACTCTGATTTTGGAAGTCCCATGAGAAAAGGTGGTTTACTTTCCTTCTGATGCCCCAATATATATAGTTACATATGTAAATACCTACATACCCTGTACTACATTTTTACGCAAGTAATGGGCACGTTCTGCATTTGTTTGCCAGCTTCGCCCTCCCCTCAGTGAGATATTTTCACAAGCGTGTTATGCTAATTTTTTTTACAGCAACATGTGGAAGAGGATTGGCCTGGTGGCACTTGTGAGAGTGCCTCACAGGGGGAGGGCTTGGCCAGCAAACAAACGCAGAAGGCATGCATTATTTGCATAAAAATGCAGCATGCCTGGGAGGACCATGGACAGAGCAGCCTTCCCCACCACTGCCTGGGCAAAAAACTACTCTTGCCACTCAGCTAGGACATAGACTGGTGATTCCATTTTGGGGACTGACTCCCTGGTCTGCCTATCCCTCCTGGCCTTGCCAGGACGCACCAGAACCTACCCTGCCTCTGCCTTCTCAAATGTGAGCATTTCAGGGAGCCACCATTAGCCTTGGGTTCATAAAAGGAGGAAACCCCAAATGACCAATACCTGGAGCGCAGTTCTCAAGCAACATCTTCCTCCCCTCCCCAGAGTGACTCTGCGTTCCTGCAGGCCAGTTTACTTTCAGCTCATTGCCCATCAACACTGGCCCCCCAAGAGTCCCAGAGTAACCTACTACCTCCCCCCGCGCTCCTCTGACCCCGCAGTAGCCCAGTTCGCGCCGGCAGTCACTGTCCACACGCTGATGAAAACCCATCCACGGGCCCTTCTTGGGTCTCTGACTCAGTGGTGTAGCTGTTACCAATGTTTACATGCAGGGGCTGCCTCGTCCTCATCTATCGCCTCCCTCATCCACAAGGCTGCTTGTCGCTGTCCATGTCACGTCTGTCTCCTCCTTCCCTGGTTCGGGTTGACTAGAGCACACAGTTCAGACTTTCATTTCTTCCTCCCTCCAGGCAGTGTGAGGACTGTGGGAACGGAACTCCTTGTACATACTTAGCACAGCACCTAGCGTAACAACTTGTACTATTGTTCTGTAAAGAGGGTGGAATAAAGATTATTGTAAAGTGTCGGGAGAAGTATAGTATTGTATTTGTAACAATATCGTTCTTTGTATACACAAAACTCAACGATCTCTATATATAAATATAAATAAATATATAAATAAGATCTATATCCCCGTGAGCCTGGAATGTTGACATCGCACTCCCAACGAATGTTACCTCCTCTGGCGGGCTGGTCACAGGGCCCAGCCCTCCTTCCCCTCCTGCGTCGTGTGGCTGAAGTCGTTTGGTTTGGGGGTTGTGATGTATTTAATGTGCTAGCTCTTCTTATTTAACTGAACGCTAATGTCTGTAAGAGTTGCAGCAACAATAAACAAGAACTTCACCTCTTGGCGCCACTGAGTGTCTTACTGTTGCAGGGGAGGGAAGGGACCCTGGATGGTGGAAGGATTTTGTTTTTTCATTGACGGGCCAACCCCTGTCCATCCAACGGGGGCTGCTTGATTCCCAGAGCCCAGCGTTTTCTGAATGGACATTTATTCTGTGAAACCGAGTTGGTTTTAAACATGAAAGGCTTTGTTCGTCTATTACAGCTGATACCCCACAGTCTGGTCGGCCTCCTTGGAGCACACTGTGAAGGGGAGAAAGGAGCCCTTTGTATGTCATATTTTGCATCCTCAATAGCCTAGAAGTCGTTCTTGGTTCAGTAGCAGAATTCTCGCCGTCCATGCGGTAAACCCAGGTTTGATTCCCGGCCAGTGCGCATTATGCACAGCCACCACCCATCTGTCAGTGGAGGATTGCGTGTTGCTGTGATGCTGAACAGGTTTCAGCGGCGCTTCCGGACTAAGACCAGGAAAAAAGGCCTGAAAGTCTGAAAATCAGCCAATGAAAACTCATGGGGATGGCATAGAACCAGGCAGCTTTTTGTTCCATTGCACATGGGGTTCTCATGAGTCGGGCTGACTCAATGGCAGCCCACAACAATAGTCTTCAATGAGGGAAGGGAAACGAAAGTTAATTGTCTCCCCAAGAACTCTCCAATGAGGGGAGGTAGCCCTTGTTAAGGGACTGAGACTCAAGTGTACAGTAGTGTTGGAAGAAAAACTGCCCTGGGGAGACCCACGTAAAGGTTCCCTGAGAAAGTTCTGGAAGGTTCTTCTCCCACTGCTTTTTCCAGTTCCACTTTTTGAAGCTTTCTGGGCATGAACTCCCTGCTGGCAGGGGTGTGCTGAGGAGCCTGGTCTCCCTCCCCTACATGGAGAGTATCCAACCCTGTTTGTAAAGCAAAATGCTCTTAGACTTTTTCTCTGTGGACACTGCTCCGTCATCCTGAGAAGCCCTGGCACAGCCCCCAAAGGTCCATGAGCTGGGGCTGCCAAAAACCCTGGGAGGTGGAGGTTGTACCTTGTACTGAGGGTCCTGGGGTGACCTCCATGGCCTGGCCTCAGGGGACTCCCCACCCTGTCTCACGGAAATGGGAGATTTCCACAACACAGAGATGTCTGCTATTGAATAAAGTGGAAATAAAACACATTTAACTGATGAATTGAGAAGTCAAAACTTGGGGAAAGACTAACAGCAAATCTTTCCAGCACGTCTCTGTGCCAGGCACCATTCCAAGTGCTCTACATTGATTAACTCAGCTAATACCCAAGACACCGCTAAGAAGGAGACAAAGTATTACCCCCATGTTACAGATGTAGAGACTGAGGCACAGAGAGTTCAAGGACTTACATTTCTTTTTCCAGCTGCTTCCCAGCAGTGCTAGGACTTCTGTCCCCGTCATCCACTGTTGAACTCAGCATTATAACTTTGTGGTCTCTTTTGGTTCTTATGATGCTTTCAGTCCAGGTTCTTATTTGTTTGCAAACCTCAAT